TTAGATACAGATGAAATCAACAACCCATACCAAAAGGTTACCTCTAGGGAGGGGCCGGGATTGGGGTGGAGGATGAAGAGAGACTTGCAATTTTTTTTTTCTATTAAGTTCAACCATAAGACATAGCCATTTTAGGGGTGAGATCCAGCCTGCAAAGAATGAAGTATTTGGAGGCAGGGGGCAGGAGAGAGGAAGAATTTATACACACACACACACACACACATACACAAAAACATACATACAACTATATATCCAACATATACGTAAGTGGATCCCTGAATGAGAAAACCAAAACAATGGAACAGAATAGTTCAAGATAAAATTCAAGACAACTTTCCTGAAATCAAGAATTTTGAAAAAATTACCATTTTTGTAGGTTAAAATTGGTAGACACCGACAATTTCCTATGCTTCAACCTAATTACACCTGTTTGTTGTTTTAATTTCTTACATTGAGAACTTGTTCACATACATTTTTAAAAACAAAGAAACATAAGTAAGTAGCAAAGCTGGCACATGAGCTCAAGTCTGCTAGCCTCGTTCCTTCCAAGGCGCTCTGTCAACAGGGGAAAACATGGCAGAAAAGATGGCTTTTTAAAGCAACAAGAATGATGATACTGAAAGAGTTAGAATCAAGGTTCTGAGATGCAACCCTCCCTTCCTTATAAAGGGAAACTGAGATCTTGCAACAAGGCAACCGCCACCAGCCAGCAGACAGTTCGCAGACTCACATCTGGGTCTCTTGTCTTCTGGGTCTAGGGCAGAGAAGTTGTCTCCGATCCCTGCCTTCCCTCCCCCTCCACTACAGCCCACCCATCACTAAGCCCTGTGCGTTTTAGCACCTAAATGACCCTTGAATCCACCGCCGACTTTTCCAACCTCTGCCAACACCTCCACCAGCTCCCGCTTTTACTTGGAGGAGGTACCAGCTCCTCAGTGTTCTCCCAGCAGCCTGAGAGTGCTTCTCGGAACACAATCACATCACTCCTTGTGCAGAAAAGGTCTGAGGTTGCTGCCCTCAGAAAGGCCTGCTTAGCCCTTGGCTGGCATCCCCGAGCCTGGATTTGGGAAGGGTTCCCACCTGGTAAGAACAGCGCACTGTGCCTGGGCGGTTTATAAAGACAATGTAGTTTATGTTGAACGCCTGCTGTCCTCTGGGGAGTCTGGGATTTTGAGTGCCTGGAATTTTGGCCCATGTGACCAGCCCCCAAATAAAAACAAGCTTTCCTAATAGATGGCGTTTCACATGTGTTGTCATAACTTGTTGCTGGAGGAATTAAGCAAGTCCCACGTGACTCCACTGGGAGAGGATTCTGGAAGCCTGTGCCTGGTTTCCCCTGGACTTCACCTTATGCACCTTTTTTCCGTGTCCTGTGCTGATTTTTCTTTGTAAAAATCTTAGTCATGAGTGGAACTGTGTGCTTAGTCCTATGAGCCCTCCTAGCAGATCACTGAAGCTGGGGTGATCTTGGGAACCCCTAACCCAAAACTCTTCTTTGGCTTCCCATTGATCTTAAAAGACCCAAGTGCTTTCCAGATACCCACACCTGTTCTGCACACCGTGGCCTCTGCCTACCCATCTGACCTCACCTGTCACCACTTTCTCTGCTTTGGCCACAATGTCTCCATTCGGCCCTTCGTTCTCAACAGGTTCCTTCAACCACAGGGCCTTTGCACATGTGATTTCCTCCGCCTGGAATGCCCCCTCCTCTTCTACCTTGTCATTTTTGTTTTCCTCCTTCAGGTCTCCCTCAAGCATCCCAGCTTCACGAAGCTGAATGTGTACCTTCCCTGTTGCATTCATGCATGGCCCATGTGCCTTCCCAGTTGAGATGGATTCACCAGTTTGTGTAATGGAGTCTGTTACCTCCCCCACTCCCCACTCCCCATTAGGGCAGAGACCTGGGGTAGGGGGTGCGGTTCCTGCTCATGCCATATCCTCCATATCCTACGTGCCTGGAAAACATACCTGGAGGGTGGAGCAAATCCCTCGAGCAAACCTCTCCTCTCGGGGGACTCATGTACTGCAGCGGCTCACAGACTCTAGCACCGCCCCCCGCCCAGGCCCCGGGGGTTTGTGTTCTGAGGAATGCCTATTTTTTAAATCAGGGAAGTCTTTAAATAAGCGTAGCAGCTTTTCCTTCTCTAGGGTGGGGAGGAAGTTTGAGGTTCACGAAAATAACCACCACGACAGCTGACTAGCTGGGGTGGGCGGGGCTGCTTATCGGCCAAGGAGCCCACCTGGCAGCTCCAGTGCCCCCAGAGATGTAGTCTCCAACTCTTCTCTCCTCTTCCTATAGGGTCAGAACCCTTCCTGTCTTGATAGAAGAGTCTGCCAGCCCGGCCAGGATCGTGGGGCTGGGAGGAGACGATGTGAGGAGTAACATTTAAGGTCGTGGGAACTGGTGACTGTAACTCTCCCCAGGGCACCTGCCATTTTCTGAGGTCTGGGCAAAGCATGGTAACAATTCCATGAGGTGGGGACTGAATCGTCTCATTTACAGATGAGGAAACTGGGAACAGAGAGGCCAAATGACTTGCCTCAGGTCAGACAGCCAGGAAGAAGCAAAGCTCAGATTCCAACCAGGTCGAAAAATGAGTAATCAGAAAATGCAGTAGTGAGAGCACTGACTTCTTGGTAAATTTCTTGGCCATCAAAAAGGCCTAAGTCTGGTGCATATGGCTAGTGGGAAAAATAAGATACAAAGTTGTCTGCAGTCTTTGATTCTAATTGTAAAGGACACAGAGAGTGAGATGGTAGCTAGGTAAATGACAAATCTGGTGTGCTGGGGTTATTATAAACTTATTTCCTTTTGCTCGAGTTTTCACAATAGTAATACTGAAATAGATTTCTTTCTTTTTTTTTTTTTTTTGGCGGCGAGCACTTGTCCTTTAATTTGCATGTAAAATCAGTTTTATCTGGGCCAGATGCCTGGCCCAGAGCCCCTTCCCTGCTGCATGACCTCTCTGAACACTGCCCTGGCTCTGGCTCACAACTGCTGAAGGCCAGTGCTGCCCTGGGAGTTCGGCCCAGTGTTACTCAATAAGAAACACATTTTATACCCCGCCTCTTAGGATATGCTGATATATACATGTTCCATGTATTAACCAACACTCATGTTAATATGTGAGAGGCTTATGTTGTCCACTTTATTTCTTAAAAGGCTGACTGCAGCCCATTAATGGATTTCAGGAGTCACCAATGGGTTGAGTTTGAAAGACTCACACCAGGGTATAGTGGGGAGGCTATACCCCATCTATTTCCCTGGGGGAGAGAGATGCTGACTGTCAGAAAGGTGGCAGACCTGCCCAAAGCCTGTGAATCAGCCACGTTAACTGGGAAGCATAAGTCATGCTGCTATTTGTGTTACGAAAGCATAGAAAGGAAAAAAAAAAACAGTCATCCAGCTAGAAATCAGGACCCAGCACCAGTGTGACTGAGTCATCTGGGCCATCCCCATCTCCCAGTGTCTTAGTGAGGCTTCAGTCGTGGAAAAGACGGGATAAACAGAGTTCAGGGTACCCCTATTTCCTGCCCTGCTGTGGTGCAGTCCTTGGAAGGAGGCCCAGTGCAGCCCCAGTTTAACCAATGGCTCTCAACCCTGGCTGTACATTGGAACCACCTGGAAGCTTAGAAAACCCCAATGCCTGGGTCTTAGGCCCAGAGATTGTGATTCAGTTGGTCTGGGGGTGGCCTGGGCACTGGGATCTCCCACGTGAAGTCAAGGTCAAGGACCAACATCGTAAAAGAACCCAGAGCCTCCAGACACTTTGTGAGAAATGTGCGAAGGGCCACAAGGATTTCTAAGTGTATCTGGCTCCCCGGATGTGGCTGGTGACACGCATCTTTATCTGTGATGAGGAACAGGTCAGCTGATGGGCTGAAAACTCAGTTTACCCTCGTGAGGGCATCACAGCTCCTGTATTTTTTAAGGGTCTGCTGTAGCCCAGCACCCTGCTGAGTGCTTTCCATGCACAACCTGTTTCTTCGTCACTGCTCTCATTTTACAGAAGAGGAAAGCGAAGGCGCAGAGAAGCGGGAAGGGGCAGGTGTCCACAGCTGCTGGGCCCTCTCTCAGCAGAGCTGAGACAGCAAGTCGGGTCTGAACGACAGCTAAAAACCCCACCAGTTACTCCTACAACACAGCTGTTTTCCTCCCTCAAACTAGAGGAGCCGGACAATTAAAAAGCTCTTAAAAGCAAACCTATTAAAACAATTTCTTGAAAACAAAACTAACTCCATCAGGGTAAATTACTAAAAGAAACTTGTTCTCTGAGTCAGTAAGAGGCTTATTTGCTCCAATTGGCCCTGGCCCAAACTTCCCCGGCTCCCCAACAACTGGGGCCAGCCCCTAGTATTAGCCTCTGTGCATGACAGACAGGCTCCCGCCCCCCAGGAGTCCCCTGAGATGGGTCCCTGGGTCTGCACCCCAATACTGCTTTCCCTGATGTTTCCGTGCCCCCACCCCCACCACCAGGACTTGTCCCTGCAGCTAGACCCCTGACTCGCCTGGGCCCCCCAGGTGTACCTGCCAGCATTCATCCTAGTGAGCAGACTTTTACCCCAGATCTATTTCAGTATCACTATTGTGAAAACACGAGCAAAAGGAAATAAGTTCATAATAACCCCAGCACACCAGATTTATCATTTACCTAGCTACCATCTCACTCTCTGTGTCCTTTACAATTAGAATCGAAGACTGCAGACAACTTTGTTATCTTATTTTTCCCACTAGGCATACGCGTGAAGCCTGTCTTACAATTGACCAGCATCAGGTCACATTACATCACAGTAAACGGTGGCACTTTTTCTTCTTCACAGCACATAAAATAATGGCGCGTCTACAATCAATGGTATCTCATGTGCTAAGAAACACGTACGTTTGGGTTTCTAAATTATGCTGTCAATTGTACAGTTTTCCTTTTTACGGGGTGTTTCCTTTCCCATAAGCGAGACGACCAGGTTTGACTACGAACATTTTCATGATTCTTAATACACACCGTCAAGGTTTTTTCCGGCACAGTCGTGTGGGTTGATCCAGCCCCTCTTGAGATGGAGTGAGGCGGTTTCACCACAGTATAACCGCTATCAGCATCTCCGCTTGCTTTTTTGGTTTGCCTAGTAGGGAGCTGTAAATGAAGGACACTGTTGCATTTGCCCCACCGTGAGGATTAACGGTAACTGGAACTCATGGAGCTCCCGTATTGAGTGGCCGACACTGAGCTTCCCATGTCTTATCAGGAATTTTCACAACATGGTCATCCTTTTGTTGGAAATGCCACCATATTTCATGAATGCCAAGATGAACATTTTCCCCATATTTCAACATTTCTGAAATCACAACTGGTGGCATGTTGTGTCATTGGCCACTTCCCCCCATCTCACATTGTAAACAGCTTTAAATCAGAAACACTCTTACAATTTTACAAAGGAGCCACCAATGTGATGAAATGCAAGATCCCCATCATCACCCTCCCATGGTCCTGCCGACCAGCACATTTGCTTCCCAGACTCTGCCCCCATCACCCTGCTGCTACTCTGAGCTTCTGGCACCGCCCTGACCAGGTCCCCACCACCTCCAAGTGAACAGCTAAAATTGAAAGCCAACACTTCCTCTCCACCTTGTCCTCCCACCCTTCACAACCCATGTCTCCCCAAATCCAACAAGCCTGCGTCCCAGATATCAAGGACAGCATTTATCAGTCCTGCTCTGGATGGCCGCATGATACCAGAAGCAGAACATTCGCTTTGGAGTTAGACCAGGATGAAATCCCATTTTTGCCACTTCCTACCTGCGTGATCTTGAGCAAGTAGCTTTATTTCTCTGTGCCCAAGTATCTTTATAAAATAAGTGGTGGGGAAAAGCCCCTTATGGGCTCAGTACTGGCCTAGCATTCTGAGACCACTGTCTCCTTGACTCCTCCTGACGAGCCTTCAGGAACAGGGGTGGTAAGGAACTTTCCCCCATTTTCAGATAAAGAAACTGAAGCTCAGGGAGGCGAAGGGCCTGGCCGCATGACACGAGGCTGTGAAAATGCAGAGCTGGCATCTGAGTGGACCGATTCCGGTTATCAGGTTAGCTTGAGGTTTCGTGAATGCCTTCAATAGCTTTCACCTTTGCGACTTTAAACACTTCGGTCAGGCAGAAGCACCCAGAACAGGTGTTTCCCTTCTATCCTGTTAGAAATACCAAACGAAACTATCTTCTCAGGGCTGGGAGGTCCTTTAATGCTGCTAGTCCACCAGAATCAATTTACCTTTTCATTCCAGGTGGCCATGTTCCTGTCGTCTCCAGCTCTGGAAAATAAGGAAACATTTGTCCACATCTGTCGTACTGCCATCATTTGTCTCAGTATATGTTTTGCAAAACACTTTCTTTTTTTTCTCAAAAAAAAATTTTTTTTAATGCAGTTACTGGGGATTGAACCCAGGACCTTAGTGCACGCTAAGCATGTGCTCTACCACTGAGCTATACCCTCCCCCTGCAAAACACTTTCTTACAAGTTATTTTCAACTTGCTTAAGTTAACATTGTCTGAAAATGGCAAGTGTATGTAGGACATACATCCTGAGTATACACCCCAAAGAATTAAAAACAGGCACTCAAGCAAACACATGTACACGAATATTCACAGACAAAAAGTGGAAACAACCTGTGTCCATTAACATGAATGGATAAATAAAAGATGTCATATCCACACAATGGAACGTTATCCAGCCATAAAAAGAGATAGGTACTTTTGCAATATATATGAACATCTAATCATTATGTTGTACACCTGAAACTAATGTTGTATGTCAATTATACCCCAATAAAAAATAAAAAAAGATATGAAGTACCGATTCATGCTACAGCATGAATGAACCTCTAAAACATTATGCTAAGTGAAAGAAGCCAGATACAAAATGTCACGTATGACATGGCTCCACTGATGTGTAACATCCAGAATATGCAAATCTGCACAGACAGAAGCAGACTGGTGGTGTCCAGGGACTAGGGGGAGAGGGGAATGAGAAGTGACCACCTAATGGGGACAGGGTTTCCTTTTTAGGTGATGAAAATGTTCTGGAACTAGACAGAGGTGGTAGTTACTACACTTCAGAGGTGGCAGGGACTACATCAGAAATGTATTAAATGACATCAAATTGCTCATTTTAAAAGTTAATAACGTTATGTGAATTTCACCCCAATTAAAAAGAACCAGACTAAAAAAAAAAAAAAAAAAAAAGAACCAGACAGACATGTTAGTGTCGAGACTGCCCTGGAAAGAAGCAAAAAATCTAAACGTCAACCAACAGGGGTCTGGTCGAGTCAGTTACGGCACATCCGCACAGTGGGAGACCCCAGTGCTGTTAAATCTTCAAATGCGGAGGAGGAAAGAGGTAACTAACAAGCTCCCCCATCACATTATAGCATAATGTGTACAGTATGATCCCATCTATATAAAAAGATTATATGTGCATTTTTTTATAAGTTTGTAAGGATATAGCCAAACTCTTCACAGTGGTTACTGCTGGAGAAAATGGGAGTAATTTGGGGGTAGAGTGGGTATCTTCCTTCTCTTCGCTTCTGGAAGGTCTGAACTTCTACAATGACTATATGTTACCTCTTAAAACTTATTTTTAATGCTGGCAGGCAACCTATGTAGTAAAAAATTTAAATAATACAAAAAGATAAACTATGACAAGTAAGTCTTCTCTTTTACTTGTCTTTCCCAGAAACAGTCACTCCTACCAGTTTTCCACGTAACCTTCGGGGATATTCTAGGTCTTCCCAACCACATCCATATTTATTCTTTTTTCCCCCCCTTAAACAAATGTGAGCCCACACACTGTTCCGAACCTTGCTTATTTCCCTTTAGGGGGTGGTAGGCTGAATAACGCCTCCCGCCAGAGATGTATATGTCCTAATTCCCGAAACCTGTGAGTATGTCACTTTACGTGGCAAAAAGGACTTGCAGGTGTGGTTAAACTAAGGACTCCAAGATGGGGGATTATCCAGGTGGGCCCAGCATGATCAGAAGGGTCTTGACAAGTAGAGCAGGGGAATCAGGAGGCTATACAACCACAGAAGCAGAGGCTGGAGTCAGAGAGATTGGAAGAGGTTGTGCTGCTCAAACATGGAGAGATGGGGTCACAGTCCAAGGAGTAAGGGTAGCCTTTAGGAGCCGGTAAAGGCAAAGAAACAGATTCTCCCTAGAGAATCTCCCGAAGCAATACAGCCCTGCCAACAACTTGATCTTGGCGCACCAAGACTGATTTTAGAGATGTGAACTGTGAGATAAGTTAATGTTGTTTTTAAGCCATCAGATTTGCGATCATTTGTTACAGCAGCCACAGGAGTCTAATACAGTATCCCAGAGATGGTTCCACTTCAGTGTGTTCTAGATTAAGTGTTCCAATGAATAACCTTACACACCATGTTACTTTTATAATTTAAAAAAATTACCATTTTGCGGGGGTGGGTATAGCTTAGTAGTAAAGTGCACTCTTAGCGTGCACAAGGTCCTGGGTTCAATCCCCAGTACTTTCATTTTTTTAAAAGTCTAATTATCATTTTGAAAAAATGATATCATTTTGATAAATTAAAATTATCATTTTGAAAAAAATTATCATTTTGAAAAAAATATTCACAAAGGCTTAAGAAAAAATGAGTTCTTTCTCTCCCCATAGTACCAGGCTCAGGGCACAAGGGACTCTCACAGTTTCTTGCTGGTTGACTGGCAGAGCAGCTCCTGCAACCAGCAGAGTTCACCTTGGTGTGTTCCTGTTCCAGCCCCCGAGGGCCCTCACCCTGCCCTCACGAGATGGGCTCAAGTGGAACCACCACCACAAGTGAAGGTGAAGGGGAAAATGAGGGTGCCCTGGAGCTCTCCCTCCTCCACAAGACAGGAAACAGAACTGGCCCATGCATAGAAAAACACCCAGATTCACTAATTCAAGCAACGGAAAATTTAAACCTGCCACGACCTCCCCATGAAACTAGACAAAACAAAAATGTAAAAACCCAGTGCTTCCGGGGCTGAAGGAAAACTCGCACACAATGCTGGGGATACTTTTTCCTAAGCAGTCACCTGGTAATAAGTGGCATGTGCCTTCAGGATGATCATACCCTTGACTTGAACACATCAGTTTGGGAACCATAACTTAAAAATCATTTGAAAGCATTAAAAAAAAAAAGGTGCCATTTGGACCACAATGTTTAAAAGCAAAGTTGGATATTATGGCCAGAACCTCGAAACAGCCTATCAACCTCACTTTAGGGAAAAGCTGAGTAAGGCCGAGGGAGGAATGATAATTCTGTGGTCTATGCAGAAATGTAGAAAGAAGGCTGTTAAGCAATGAAAGGCAGAACCCTGATGGTTGCACACACTGCCTGCAACTGTACAAGATTATCAGAACCTTTCCTCTGTGCAAGGCTGAGTTCTGGAGAATCCAAAGTGAAGAGGCAAGACAAAGGTTAGAGCCCAGGTAGGCTGACGTTGTAGCCAAGAAACACCCAAGCAAGGCAATATCACCCAGAATTTAAAACAGAAATGCAATAGAAGACAGGCAAGAGTGGTTCCTGCAGGGGGGTGTAAACAGGGAAGGCTTCTGAATAGGTGACTTTTACGGTGGTCTCTGAATTACGAGGAGGTACGTCACAAGAAGATGTCAGGGAAGAGTATTCCCGGGAGCAGAAGGGCATGGGCACAGGCCTGAGGGTGCAGAGGATTCAGTATGGCTAAGGAAGGAAGAGGAGGCCGGTGTGGCTGCACTGGGCAGTGGAGTGAGGAGGGGGACAGGTCAGGACCCGACCGTGCAGAGAGCTTGGCAGACAGAGCTGAGGGCCTGGGGGCCGCGACCAGATTCAAAACAGGCTGAGGGGTGAGCTTGCTGCTGGTCTAGCTGCTGGGGATGAGGAGAGGAGCAGAAAATGCCAGGCTTCCTCCTTCTTGCTAAACCAGTGGTGAGGGAGGGCTTGGGGGCTACAGGGCAGTTCTGGAATTATGCAAGCTTCAGCCCAAAGATTTTCAAAACCCTGCCCCTAACAGCCTTTCCCTGGGAGGCAGAGAGGGAGGAGCTGCCGCCCCCAGCATGAGTCTTACTCAGGAAGCTTCCAGCCACTGGTAGGGCTGTCAGAAATACTGCATCTCTCAGATAGCTGACTGACCTGAGGCTGAAGGACAGAGAAGTGCTTTCAGACGGGCAGGGGAGCGGACAGAGGGGGGCACAGCTTGGGTCAGGCATGGGGCCAGGCCTTCGCGCCAACCACCTCATTTAGCCGTCCCGGCATTCCTGAGGCAGTTACCATGCTTAACTCCAAGGTTAAGGATAAACAACGGAAACAGATAAAGAAACTGAGGCAGGGAGAATGGAAGTCCCTACAAGAGGCCCCTGTGACCAGTTGGGGTGCTGGCTGCAGGCCTGGGAGTTCCTGGACGGCGCTGCCCTGCTCTCCCTTCTCTGTCCTGGAGTTTAACCTGGCACCAACCGACCTTCTCCTTCCTTGGCGCTCCCTGCCCAGGTGAAGGATTTGCTGCCCTGGAGGTTCTCCCCGCAGGGACCAGCAGGCTGGGCCTCCTCCCAGTATTCCCAGCAGTTTTCTCCATGCAGTCCCCCTGGGGGCCCAGGGAGGGCAGGGCAGGCACGCTGAGTAAGAGGACTTAGGGGTTCACACCCACCTGGGCGTCTGGCTCTGTCTCCTTCAGCTGTGTGATCCCTGGCGAGTGGTTTGGCCTCTTTGAGTCTTGGTTTCTTCACCTGGAAGAGGGAGACAAGGATGGAACCCACCTCACCTGCTGCGGCTGCTACAGGCATGTGACGAAGTGAAGGCACCTGGCCCAGGCAAACACTCCGTATCAAAGGGTAGTTCTTATCAACATTCCCGTTTTCAAGGGGCGACACACGAGGGGCTTCCCTCCCGGGTCCTGCGGTCCTATCTCCTGTCCACTGGACTCTAGTGCCCCGGGGGCCAGGCAGGGGTCCCCGGGTTATCCCTGCCCAACCGTGGGGGCCCAAGCTGAAGAACGCTAGAACCGAGGGCAACCGGGGCCGCCTGGGACCCCGCGGGGCCCCCGGCAGGCTCGGGCTGCGAACGCTCCGAGAAGGCGGCCCGCGCCCCGGCCGGCCCCGGAGCACTCACCCTGCGCCCGGCCCGCCCCGCGGCC